GTTAGCAATGGGAAAGATTCCCTTATTTACTACTTGGGAGATGGCTGTATAAAAAAAAGAAGGATTACAGAATTGGTATTGCAAGGATAAAAAAAAGAAAAGCGTCTGAGCATGGTACAAACAGAAATATATATTAAAATTAATTTTTAATTCGCTTGAGCACTGGACTTTGGCTGACGTGAGCCATGCTGCATTTCAATATTATTCAAGACGAAGTCGGATGTATTGGAACTTTCACAAAAATGTGAATTTGGATATTGATGTTGAGGGGTACCAATGCAGCATAACCATTGTTTAATCAGACTTATACTATAATAATTTGCTAAGCTGCCTTACATCTGTAATTGTGTTTAGCATTCTTTTAAAATGCTGTTTCATGTTCATTTCAACAATTTTACAAGAGTGTAACCATGTGACAGCTACTGTGAAAACATGGCTGACTTTTCACTATCTCATCACTTAATTTCTAAAATGACCAACAAATCAAACTCACCCCCGACACTACAGACACACGTCAGTGCGACAGTTACCTTTGTGTCTGTCTCTGAATGACTCTGCTGTCTTCAGAGCATTCAGGCTTTCATACGTCTTTTTTGTCGCCAACCAAAATCTGTTTTTTTTCACTCATTTCTGCTAACATACGGAGTTACATTGCTCGGTCGTGGGAACAGAAAATCACTTTACATTTTCAGCAGTAGCAATGACATTTTGCAGGGAAAATCCCAAAACTAGGTAAGCAGCATCAGCGTTGAGTGCCCTCAGAATGCATGTGTGAAGAGGTTTACACGACACTGAAATCAGTCTGAACCTTGAATGTAAAGAATCAGCCAACAAACGTCAACAAATATCTACACAAGTCTTCACACATTTTGCACTGCCTCAGAAAGACAATAAAACGGAAAAAAAGAGTGTGAATTATTGCACACAAATCACACTCATCTACAGTGTATGTACAGACACATGCGCACACATATTCTGCTTCTCGACAGATTCTGCACATATGGATGCAAACACACACACACACATCTGTGCCGGGCCGCTGCAACCCTTCAAAAGTAGCTGTGGCTCCGTTTCACGTGCTGAGGTTGATGTAGCCATTTTGCTGTAACATTATAGCCGCAAAATAGTCCATTTATGTTTCCTCTCTTCCTCGGGGTAATTAGCTGGCCTTGAAGTGGCTTTAGCTGCGCCTTCCTTTTTTTACACACACTCAGGGAGGCTGACTGAGAGCACTCATTTAACCCATAATTATCAACCCCTCTGTATTTAAAAAAAATCCCCCCATCCTCACCCCACCACACACATACACTCACACAACTTACACATAATTACCTTAACTGAGACAGACAAGTGTGTACATGCATGTGTGGGACACACACACTCGCAGAAGATTGTATAACACTTACAGCATCTTTGAAACGGAAACACGCAGCTTGATATAAAAAGACAGAAGAGTTACACACATGTTCAGGTGCACGCACACACACACATAGAAACACACACAGATGCAATAGAGGGAAAAGTTCACTCACCCTTTAATTTACAGGAGTAGAGTTACCCACCCTTGCAGGCTGACATAAATCCTCAAGGAATAGATTCATAGTACAAATCAATAGTAACTACAGGGTTTTAAACTGTGACCGACTGAACCTGGCTGTATTTATTTCTTTTTATCAGAAAATATGAGCTCTTTCAGAAGTGTGGTGAAAATATAATTGCAGATATTCAGGCAGGGGATATGCTTCACACAATTTCTAAGGTTCTGACACGAACAATATGATTGTCACCCACTTTCTGCAACAACTGGCCAGGTATGCCCACCTGGAAATGGGTGGAGCTCTCTTTCTCTGTGTCCAGTGTTAATAATCCACAAATCTGAATTGTTTTGGACCGCTCATGTCCTGTAGCATTGCATCATTTGATACAAAAAGCAGTCAAGGTACAGCAGTAAGGATGTGCCACTAAGCGACTGTGATGTGAGCTTTTCTGGAGCATCGACGTGCACTGATGCTGCCAAACAGGAGCATGTGTTGTATGGTACTATAGTCATGTTTCTCACCGCATCTCGTCTTAAATCGTGACGTGAATTCTGTTTTCAATGACCAGCATTAACTGGCAAGTGTATCATCCTGTTATTTCTGCTTTAGTGCTTAAAGATACAACACATTTAAGTCATTGCTGCGAACGTGATGTTTTAGTGCTGTGCAATTTGAGTGAGATAGCCTCATTTAAATCCTCTTCACGAACAATACAAGCTACAATTGAAGGGTCACAGTTTACTGTGCATCACTGTACCTACATTAATCATGTAAGTAGCCATACACATGAAGAAACCCACTGCCAAACAGCAACTGCAGCAGCACTGAATAATGAATCCCCTGTTTGTTGATTACATCAAAGATGTAATTACTTCAAAGACATGATTACTTTAAAAATTCCAATTAGATATCAGCACCTCTTTATGTGCGTCACAAATTCGTAAATGTAGCCCTCAGTCTCT